GTCTGTTAATTGGTTGGCAATTAATTTTCTGTAAGGACTGATTGATCCTTACTGGCACGCTCATAATTACAAAAATAACCTTCGAAAGCCAAAAAGCCAACATGTTTGTTCAATATTTTTTTTTAAATGTGATTTAATATTTTTATTTACTGTTTTAATGGTTCTTCTTTACAATTATTTTTTTTGTTATGAAAAAAATATGATTGTAGGTAGATAGCATATAAATAATTGTGCTTTTTAACTATGAACTAACTTAATTTGTGATTTTATTTTTAACTCACTGTGTTTTTTGAGAAAAAAAAAATTATATTCATTAGGTTCACATAAAGTACCCATTATTGTTGATGAATTATTGATAATGATTAAATTATATTTTGAAAAAAAAAATTGTAATTAATCATTTTAACTCATTGTGTTTTTTTATTGTAGTTAGTTCAATGGTTTTTTTAGTTTAATGTTTTTTTTTTCCATTTATTTTTCAATGTGCAGCACTTCTTCACTTCCACGTATGCAAACTTTCAACTTCTCCCTTGCAAACAGTGAGTAATAACCTTTCCCATGCATGCAAACAATTAGCAATTTCTCCTTTTCTTTTTTACAATTTTTTTTTATTATGAAAAAAATATGATTGTAGTTAGATAGCATAAAAATATTTCTGATTTGTATGATTGAAGTTATTTCCTTTTGTGATTTGTAAAAAAAAAAATTATAATTTGATTTTTTAACATGATTGAAGTTAGATAAACATAAGCACTCACAAAGAGAAAAATGTGATTGTAGTTAGTTTAACGATTTTTTTTTTAATATGATTGTAGTTTGTTCAATAGTTCTTTTTCTTTTTTTTTTTAATGTAATTGTATTGTAATTAGTTTAATGGTTTTTTTTTCCACTTATTTTTTTTATTATGGGAAAAAATGTGATGTTATTGTAGTTTGTTTAATGGTTCTTTTTTTTTTTAATGTGATTGTATTGTAATTAGTTTAATGGTTCTTTTTTTCACTTATTTTTTTATTATGGGCAAAAATGTGATGTTATTGTAGTTTGTTCAATGATTTTTTTTTTTTAATGTGAGTGTATTGTAGTTAATTCAATGGTTCTTTTTTTTTAATGTGATTGCATTGTAATTAGTTTAATGGTTCTTTTTTTTCATTTATTTATTTTACTATGGTAGTAATATGATGTGATTGTAATTTGTTCAATTGTTCTTTTTTTTAATGTGATTGTATTGTAATTAGTTTAATGGTTCTTTTTTTCATTTATTTATTTTATTATGGAAAAAATGTGATGTGATTGTAGTTTGTTCAATAATTCTTTTTTTTAATGTGATTTAATATTTTTTATTTACTGTTTTAATGGTTCTTCTTTACAATTATTTTTTTTTATTATGAAAAAAAATATGCTTGTAGTTAGATAGAATAAAAATAATTGTGCTTTTTAACTATGAATTGACTTAATTTGTTATTTTATTTTTAGCTCACTGTGTTTTTTGGAAAGAAAAAAAAAAGATTGTATTCATTAGGTTCACATAAAATACTCATTATTAATGATAAATTATTGATGATGATTAGATTATATTTTAAATTTTTTTTTATAATTGATTTTTTTAACTCACTGTGTTTTTTGAAACATAAATTATTGTGTTTTTTAATTATCAATTGACTTAACTCACTATGTTTTTTTTTTTTTAATTATTATGACCGAAAATATGATTGTGTTTTTAACTACTAATTGACTTAATTTGTGATTTGGTTTTAATTCATTGGATTTGTAACTACCGATTGTAGTTAGTTCAATGGTTCACATAAAGTACCCATTATTGATGATGATTAGATTGTATTTTGAAGCAACATATTTGTAATTGATTTTTTTAACTCATTGTTTTTTTTTTAAAATTGTTGTGCTTTTTAACTATCAATTGACCTAATTTGTGATTTAGTTTTTAACTCACTCTGTTTTTTGGAGAAAAAAGAAGAAGATTGTATTCATTATGTTCACATAAAGTACCAATTATTGATGATGATTAGATTGTATTTTGAAAAAAAAATTTGTAATTTACTCACTATGTTTTTTGAAAAAAAAAAATTAATTGTGTTTTTTAACTATCAATTGACTTAATTTGTGATTTGATTTTTAACTCACTGTGTTTTTTGAAAAAAAAAATGGATTGTATTCATTAGGTTCACAAAAAGTCTCCATTATTGATGATGAATGATGATGATTAGATTGTATTTTGAAGAAAAAAAAAATTGTAATTGAAAAAAAATATGATTGTAATTAGATAGCATAAAAATATTTCTGATTTTTATGATTAAAGTTATTTCCTTTTGTGATTTGTAGGGCAAAAAAAATTATAATTTGATTTTTTAATATGATTGAAGTTAGATAAATATAAACACTCACAAAGAGAAAAATGTGATTGTAATTAGTTCAAATCTCACTGTTCAAGATAAACAGCCAGAATTTATCTTGCGATATCAGTTATCATATACGAAGAATACGAGATCAAAGGTAGGAAATTACAAAATTTATTATAAATAACTTATTCTTACATTTTCAAACACAAAGTTATAATTCCAAAATTTCATAAGATAATGGTGTTAGAATGATTAAAGATTATATTGCGTCATGCCAGGACCGTGCCTGTGCATTTATCATACATGTACCAACAATGGCACATCAATTAGATTGTGCACCATGCGTAACCTTTGTTTTAAATATAGATTGGTCTGAAGAATGTCTAAATATCATGTTAATAATGCAGGAATGTTGATAGAAGACCCACAACAATTTAGATTTTAGTTATAATATATCTTATTTATTCAGTGAATTTCGAACAAATATAATAAATTTTCAAAATGTAATAAATTCTTATTTTTATTACTTTAATTATGCAATGTCAACATTTTCTTTTAAAATTACATATATTTTATGCTAACAATTTAAAAAAATGTTTGACATAACCATAAATAGTTTTTTTAAATTCAATCTCGTGCATAGCACGGGTGATATGCTAGTCTATACTATATATTAAGCAAAATGGGGGTTTTTAACCCCCAAGGCCTATGGGAGCTTCAATATCCCAATCTGAATTTTCTAAATTTTTTATTTTTTATTTATAAAAAACATTTATTGATTTGGTCAAAATCCCCAGATCAGTATTTATTAACTTTTTTCAATTCACATGTCTTTCTACATGCCTGCATTTATTGATTTGGTTAAAATCCCCTAATCAGCATTTAAAATCCCCTCATACAAATAATTATAGATACAATCCGTGTATAGTTATTGCAGTATCATTTTCAACTTCTCCCATACATTATAGTTAGTGATAAGATTGTTAAATTATTTTTATAAAAAATCTTTAAAAAACACAATTTATATATTAAAAAAAATCTAAAACAAATATAAATATCTATAATTATCCCGTGTACAGCACGGGTGATAGGCTAGTATATATTAAGGAAAAAGGGGTTTCTAACCCCCAAGCCTTGTAGAAGTTTCAATATCTCAATCTTAATTTTCTAAATTTTTTATTTTAAAAAAAAAAAACCTCAATATTTGTTGATTTAGTCAAAATCCCTAATCAGCATTTATTAAACTTTTTCAATGCACATGTCTTTCCACATGCCTATATTTATTAATTTAGTCAAAATCTCCTGATCAGCATTATACAAATAAATTGAGTTTCTAACCTCCAAGCTTTGTGAGAGTTTTAATATCCCAATCTTAATTTTCTAAATTTTTGATTAAAAAAAAAAAAAAAAACCTCAATATTTGTTGATTTAGTCAAAATCCCTAATCAGCATTCACATGCCTGCATTTATTGATTTAGTCAAAATCTCCTAATCAGCATTATACAAATAATTATAAATACAACCCGTGCATAGTTATTGCAGTATATTTTTCAACTTCTTCTATACACTATGGTTAGTAATAAGATTGTTAAATTATTTTTATAAAAAATCTTAAAAAAAACACAATTTATATATTAAAAAAATCTAAAACAAATCTAAATATTTATAATCTCGTGCATAACACGGGTGATAGGATAATTCTAAATTATGAAAATAGGAAATTATATAAAGTATTCACAATAGAAAATGATATAAAGTATTTTTGATTTTTAAAGCTGACTAATTACTAATATAAGAATGACCAGTACATCATTTCTATTTTGATTCATGATTTAATCATATCCATGCTATTTCATTTTGCTTGCATGGTCATGGATTCTATTTTGTGAAGCTATTCTATTCCTTCCGAAGCTAACAAACAAAAAATTTAGAGATTTTTCTTGAAACCAGCAAATATAAAATTTTGGCATATTTTTCAGATTTAATTTGAAATGGAATTCACTACTTTTGAGGCTAATTTGTTTTAGAGCATTGATAGAGGCCCCCTCCAATCACCACCCCCACAACCCCACACACACGTGGCTGGTAGTGATTGGAGGAGAAGGAAAACAAAAAAAAGCAAAAGAAAAAGTAGCCAATCAAAAAAGAGAGGGGGTCAAAGGGGGTGAGGAGAAAGGAGGTCCTAAACATTTTTGTTTGTCTTAATAATTACCTCATTTTTTATTATTTGATTATTCGATCTATATTTTTTTTGGTCCCCTTTTTCATGCCTCCACGACTCTTCTTGAATCGAAAGCTTTGGAATTTGGTTAGGGTTTAAGATTTTGCTTGTAGTTTCAATTCATACAATAAAATTTATAAAATTTAATAACAATTTGTCATGTCTTTACCTCTATCTATTATTCCTAACCAATGATAAGGCAATATGACTTTATTCCTAACCAATGATGGCGCGACCCCCACGCGCGAAACGCGTGGAGGTTCAACTAATATAAATTAAAATCTCAAAAGAACTCAATAAAATTATGTCAACATTGTTAAATTTGTTATATTTTCTCCTAATGGGAACTCTTTGTAATTTAAAATAGTACTAATTCACAAGAAATTAAAATGAAACTTGTCCAAAAACAAATAAACATGTGAATATGTCCCAGGAAACTCCAAAACATCAATGCATTCAAACTAGGACCAAAGTTTACAAGACATTGGTATCACATGCAAAAGGAATTTAATGAGGGAAAAAAAATTGTATACAGAATATCACACACCAAACCTGGAGATCTTTTACATTTTTTCTTCCACAAATAGAAGACACTCCACATGGATATGATCATATGATCCAGATTACAAGTCATAAATTAATCTAGTATCAACTTGAAACAGTCGCCAGATTAAAGGCTGAATAAAAGATCATCAAATATCTCGAGAAGTTGCAGCGGCCTTTTTGCAGTGAGCATTTGGCAGGTTGATGCAGAGAACTTGTCAAGCGAATCAAACGAACGCAGAACCAGATTAACCCTATTTTGATGTTAGAGTGGAATCTTCTCCACTGTTGTTGCTTTGAACCAGCTGGCAAACCACATAAGCAATCAATTAATAATTAAATGCGAGTAACTGAAAATTTACTTCTTGTGAAGGTGTCCGATATCAGATGCATATTTAGAGATCGGACACAACAAAATAAGAGATGTTTGTATATTTTTAATCTATTATGTAAGATAAAATAATATTATATGTAACATACGCTGTCAAAAAGGCATTTTACTCATTCTAAAGCAATTACACGACAAAATTTACATATAATGATAGTGTTATATACAAATATGATTTATTTTGATGAGTTAATAGGAAGAGAGTGGGTTTTACAGTACCAGGGAGCCCACTCGTTCATATGCTTCCATAACCGTTGGATCTTCCTCGTCCTCGTATCCAATTTGCAGTAGCCGTGGTCCATTGACAGACCAAAGAGCTCTTCGACCGGCCTCCTGTTACAAGATTAAACTCACCCAGATGCAATAGCTGTCTTTGAAAATGTGAATTCACACAACAAGAAAGAAGGAAATACTCTCAACTAAAAATGAAAAATAAATTCTTCATTCTGGTGAGCTTTGACTACTTTGAATATTCGAGAAACGACATATTTGATGCTAGAGAAAACTCCATCATTTTCAAAACTCTAATTTTTTTGTTTTTTTTTGGTTGTGTGTGGGGAGGAGTAGGGAGTAGAAAGGGATGTAAGTCATAACCCATACTATTGACAATCTAAAATCCAAAACTATATCAATCTATGCTGCAATGGCTATATGAAGAAAGGCTAAAAGTGAGATCTTTTCTGAGTAGTAAATCTATTCTTAATTATGACTTCTCATATGATTGATTGTTGATCATATTTATAGATTTAGCATTTATTTTCTATCAGGAGGGCAAATAATATAAAATCAGCAATTTTCCTAGGGGGGAATTGAAGATGAGTGTTCGTTGATTTGACCTGTAGAGCAAGCAAGTAGATAGCCTCAAGTGTTTGCACACGGATTTCAGGATCATTCACTGGTTCACGCTCAAATGACAGTGCACTCCCAAGTTCAAGTGGCATCTTTGATGTGTCTTGCTCACTATAAATCTGCCACAAGCCACCAGATTGAAGGCAAAAAAAGGAATTTCAGAAAGCAAGCATTTACAAAATCAGTACACCCAAAAATAAATAAATAAATAAACAAACAATGATACAAATCATATAAAAAACTTACAACAGAAGTCAGAAAGCAGCAAAAAAAACTAACAATCCTACTTACAGCCTTCAAAGTGCATAAGAGAAACAAAAAGCTCCTGAAGAAATACAGGAAAATCCTTTCAATTATGTACTTGAGGAAAAATTCAATTAGGGAAGGCCGTCATATGCTCAGCCCAACAAAACCTTAAGTTAACAAAACCATACTTTGGTTTTGTGAGTAGAAGAGTTTAAAAAGTATATAAAAACTTTTCAAGGATACAATCAATATACTATTTCAAATTTTCAATTAGCTTTTATGTCAGCATTTTATCCAAGAAAGCATTTATGGCATGAAGCAAAACCACAGGATTTTCAATATTCAACTCAATAATTTCAACCAAATCACTTGGAGTAAGCCAACCAAAAAACTGACGGACAAAAGGGGAAGATTGGAGATGGTGTGGAGATTAGTAAGGCGATGATGTCTTCTAAGGTGTCTGTTAAGGCCCATTCAAGAGGGAAGTTTTTACCTAAGAAGAGTGTTAGGCCCTTCATTATTTTCATGGATTATTCTAAAGAAAGTTAAGAGAAAAGCATCTGGAAGCTAAATCTATTGCAGTTATAGGGAAGGTGAATAGTGAAATATGGAAATCGATTATAGATGATGAGAAAGCACCTTTGGTGGAAATGGCATGTCAGTGAGGTTTTTCAGAGTTTGGGTGTGATTATTTTTCTGGGTTGTCATGAGTATTGGACCTATGTCATGTTGACTTTATTTTCTTTCTTTACTTTTTCCGGTTGTATAAGGGTTGTGCCCCCTCAGCACATTCTCTAATACAATTTTATTTGTTATTGATAAAAAAAAAAAAAAAAAAAAAAAAAAAAAAAAAAAAAATCACCTTGTTTCCAGCAACTGGCAGAAGTAGAGCTGGCCAAAGAAATTCTGAAATCAAAAGCAAATTCTGTATTTGATTCTCAGCTTCAAAACAGCAGTTGCGAATAGTTCCAGAAACCTGTGAACCAACAGACATCCCACTAAAAATGATGTCCTAGAACAAAATGTAATTGATACAGTTTAAATTATTTAAAACTGTTAAAAACAGCAAAGTATGCCAAAGTATAAAATGCTTAAATATGTACTCTTCACTAAGTATACGATGAACAGACAGTGGATTGAGTTTTACTGCAAATTGGTTGCTCTTAGTGATCCCTACTTGGCAAGTTGTAGACAATTCTTTCAAAAGTATGGGGCTAGCTCATTGCTTCTTGCCTCAAAAGCATAATTGCTTCAAGATGCAGAAACCATAACAAGGAGATAGGTTTGAAAATGTCATATTTTGTTGGCGCCGATTTCACAAGAGATGGTAGTACTTGAATGCAACACAGTGGAAACCAATGCAGAAAAGTTTAAGATGTACAGTTGATGATAGAAAGGACAGTATCTAAAATAACCTAGTTATGTAAGGAAATTTCTTTCCATACCCCCTTCTTTCGCAATGAACTTGTTGAATCAAATTGCCTAATGATTTGCTTCAAAAGTCCTCGCTTAGGGTCCAATAGAAGTTTCCTTCCTGCTTCCCTTTTTGAAATATTTACAAGTATAGAACCAACATGTTCAAAAGGATCACCTGATAGATATGGAATTGAAGGAGGAAATATGTTAACAACAGCAATATAGTTTTAGTAAATGATCATTTACACATCTTAAAATTTGGAATGCATATGTAATGCCATGTTATTAGGGCCTCCAGAACAACTGACCAATGCAATATATACATGTATATGCATGAATACATAGCATTGTAATCTTCAAGTGCGCAAATTCAATTACTGAAAAAATTCATAGAATATAAGACCCAAACTTAGGGAGACAAAATTTAAGATATTTTAATCGGATGAAATTATGCTCACCACGTAATTCAAGACAAAATAACTGAAAACATCAAAATAACAGTGAACTTAAAAGTAAAATAATTATTTAAAAAAAAAAATTAATATGCCCCTACCATTATGCATCATTGCATCAATGAGAGGCATGAGCTATAAGGATATATATGTAACTTTAACCAAATGTACATATGTGCACTATGTGCATGGGTGTCTGTATTAGATATACAGTGACTAGAGCACAAAAGCAAACTGAAGTAGATAAGGAACATAACACACCATTCTTCTCATTAGGTGACGTACAGAATGATCTCACGAGCTTCATGACGTACAGGCCATGCATCTTCTCATCTCCAATCTAGCAATCAGCAACAAACATCAGAACACAATGAAAACAAGTAAAATAAGAGAGGAATGATAAAGAAGAAGTAAATATCACTAATCATCCTTAGTACTATCCTCAACTTTAGTAGTAATAGGGATTGGAATTGTTTAAAGGGTCCTGCTAGTGGGTATTCGGTAAGAATCAAATAATGTCAAAATAGTTAAATTTCAATACACATTTCATTTCACATATTCTCATACACTTTTATATTTATATGCATTTTTCACATATTTCAATACACTTTTTACACATACCGACATTAGCATTTCCCTAGTTTAAAATATAACGTTATAAGATTGCTCTGATACAGATTGAAAATAAAGCACCATAACAATATTACGAACTGAAGGTTCACACCTGAAGCAAAGAATCAATACCAGCGTCCAACTGTGTAAGATTTACAAGGAACATAACAAGCAAGCGGGTAATGCCAGGCTCCTGCTTATATAGAATATCCATTGTTGTTTTGATCATTCCCATTGAAACCATTTTCGCTGCCAGTTCTGAATTTTGTGAGAGATTTATGAGAGCCTCGGCTGCAGGTTCCGCAACCTCCTAAAATGTTCAACCAATTTCAAGATGAGAAATTGTGGTTGATTTGCTATATCTGGAAATAAAGGCAGAGTGTATAATCAAAGAACACCTTTTTTTCAGCTAAAAGGTGAGACAATGATGGTATGACAATATCAGAGTAGTTTGCAAGGGATTGCAAGCCATCCTCGGACCCAGTCAATCCCCGAACAATATCCACGGCTGCCTTCTTAACCTGAATTCATTATTCATTCCAACCAGATTTAACAAGCTTTCCCAAAACAAGTACAATAACATAGGGGTCAGAATCAAATAACTATAGGAACTAAATAAGCAAACGTTTAAGGCTCTGTTTGGAAACCCCTAAAAAAATCGCATTTTCTCTCTGAATTTTATTGTCTTAAGTTCCAAAAAAAAAAAAAAAGGTGTAAAAAAAAAAAAATTATTTCTCATCTCAGGATCATCTAATCTAGAATGACCTAAAAAATACCCAAAAAACCGAATTTTCCTATATATATATTTAAATTTTTTCAAGCCCCTCTAGTCTAATAGAACCTAAAAATACAAAGCCTTTAGAATTTTTTTTTTTTTTTTTTAACAAGTTCACCAAAAAAAAGAAAAAGAAAAAGAAAACAATTGTCAAACTCAAACCCCACCTAATTGAGCAAAGTGAGTTACTTTTTTTTTTTTCTGAATTCGAGAAGAAATGGATATGAAAGAGAGGGACACGCGGGATTTGCAGTGGAATTAGGGTTTTGTTACAGTACATGTTGGGCATTGGAATGGAGTAGATTGCTTTGTCGGAGCAGAGAAACCAACAACCTAATAAAATTTTCGTGGGAAACAAACATAAAATCAAAGCTTTTTAGAGAGAGAGACTCACTGGGGGAGATGGAGACGAGAGAAAGCCCAGCAATTCTTCTAGTTCGTTCGCCATGTTCGTTGCAGTCGGCTGGCCGTTTGGGGGTAGCTGTTAAAATAAAGTATAAATTATAGCTATTAACTCCAATCAAACTCGCTACTTGTCACTACTAAAAGTACAAAAAAATAAATAAATAAATAAAAATAAAAATATATTTTTTATTTTACCTAATTATTTTAATTATTGTATTCTTTAACCACGTTTTTTATTTTAGTTAATCATTCAAACTAACTTAATTAATTTTTAAAACTATAAATATTAATTATTGATATTTTATTAATATAAATTTGCAATAATAATAAAATTGCCTATGCAAGCATACAAAACTTGTAGAATGAGGAAAAAAATATAAAATACAAAATAAATTATTCTGTAATTCATCAAATAAAATTGAAAGAACATATAAAATTGCTATATATACACACACATATATATATATAATATATAAAATCACAAATCCAAAACATAAATATACAAAAATTCAAAACATATACATATATATATGTTTGGAAAGCTTATGAGATTCTTTAATTGTATCAAAAATGTAAGATAGTAAAATATCTAGTCCAATAGACAGTCTATTGGAGTACAAAAATTAGAGTTATATTGACTAAAATACCTAACAAGCCTTTTTTAACTATCCCCTTAGAGATGGTCTGACAGATTATAGATTATGGTTTTAATTTGAAGTTGTTAATTTGTTTGGTGTAGTTATTGGATTATAAATTTAAGTTATTGAGTAGTATTTATCAAATAAATTGTGAAGTAATTTTTTTAATTAATTTTTTTTTTTTGGTTATTCATTACTTGTCTACTTTTCTCATAAATTATAATAATAATAATTTAAAATGAATTTAGTTTTTTTTAATTTTTAAAAAAATAAAAATAAAAAAAATTAAGAATATAATCGTAAATTAACATGCCTATAGCAGAAGTTGATAATCAGAAGTAAGGAGTGAACATTTTCTCAGAATCATTTTTTTTTAATTAAAATAAATTGTTAGAAATAGAAACTATTTGAAATAAGTGTAACTAAATAATCGAAAATAACTTTTTAAAAGTTAAAAGTTATAAATTGGCTCAAAAAAATTAAAACAAACACCTCTCGGACTCCGATTGCATGTTTCGAAGTAGAGATATTTTATATCAATAATGATGGGTAGCCTAAAAAATCATAGCTTGAATGGTTCGAAACACCAAAAATGATATCGTTTTGAATATAAAACGATATCGTTTTAACACATTCAAACTACAAAAATTTAAATCACCAAACATTTTTTATTTTTAACAATAATAAATAGCCCGAAAAATATATACCTTGGAACGCCGCTATTTTGAGATAAGTAAAACAACAGCGTTTTAATTTGGCTTTCAAATTGTCAAAAGTTAGCTTACAAAAATCGAATCCAGCAAGGTCTGTCTTACGGCATTTTCAACCCTCCACTTTTCTTATTTTAAATTAAATTTGTTTTTCATAAAATAAAAAAAATTTGTTCAATAATTTAAATTTAATTTTTTTTCATATAGCTTACTTTAATGGTAAGAATAAAAAGTTTTCAAAAACATTTAACCTATTCTAAAAATTTATTTGAACCAAGTGTGAAAATTTGATTTTTCAATTCTTCATCTTTTAACAAATTCATTAAATTTAAGCAAAGTAAGTGTTGTTGAAAATTTTGATTCATCCTTTCATTTGATTAAATTTTTTTATAAAAATTCGGTTCGATATAAGTTTGACAAAATAATTTGAGATCATATCTACGAAAAATTTCATCAAGTTTTAATTAAATCCTTCGTTAAAATTTTCACCAAATTTCAATTCCTCACAAAACCCATTATCAAATTTACATTTGATAATTTTTTTGATAAAAATAACCTTTAATTAATATTAAATCAAGTTGTCATCAATTTTTTTGACCGAATCAAGGTAAAAACAAATTTTTTATAAAAGATTTAATATTTTTTTATTCAATTTATAATTATAATTTAATAGATTTTTTATTCATTTTTTAGGGTTGGAGATGTAGCACATTATTGAAGGGACATAATTGTCATTTTGAAATACAAACAGTTAATCAGCGATTCAGAAATTGAGGGAGCCTCTATTTGCACACACCAATTCCACTCTTTGCACACACTTAATGAATTTTATTTTTATTACAATTTTATCCCTAAATAAAATTACCATTATAGACATCTCACACAATTCAAATAAACACACATCCTCTCAATGCACACACAGACGTTGCAATGCCTCTGCTTCCTCATTTTGCTAAATGATCCACACACACACGTTACTCTATACCAGAGCTCCAAAGTTACTCCATTCTTCATTAGTGTACACTCCTTGCACAAGCTCCACACTCCTTCCACAAGCTGTCTTCCTCATTCTTCCTTCCGCATTCTTCATTACTTATTTGTGATGGAGGATTTGTCTTCTGAAAATCAGCAAATAAGTATTCATGTGAAGCAGAGCGAAGGAAATGTGAGTTTAATTTTTTTTTTTTTCGCAGCGTCGTTCGGATAACCAGTGCCAAATTTTGTTATTTTGTTCGGAAATGTACTACCGAAATAATTATGTATTTTCGGAAGTTGATGTCCGAATAAATTGATAAATTTCGGAAGTTGTTGTCCGAAAAATATATATAAATTCGGAAGTTGTTGTCCGAAAAATGTTAACTTATACAACATTCAACTTCCGAAATTTGAAAAAAAATTCGGACA